TTAACTTTCTCTCCTTCCAGCTTCCCTTTTCAAATGCACATACGCTTTTATTTACAGGGGATCTAAAGGCTTTATTAACTGCTGAGATTACAAACCTCATTTGGAATTGGGGTTTTGAGCCGGAGTATACTTTCGGTCCTTGGAAAATTGCCCACATGTGTAACTTGTTTTTGCTTCTCTTCAGACAAGGAATTCCCCCCCCACCCCCTCCCTCCTCACCACTTACGGATTTTTAACAGACGGCAGCATTCAAACTGAGAGCTAGCACAGGAAATGGCAAAGGTAGATCCTTCGGCTTTTAGGCTACAGAAACTTATTTCACTTTTTTTTACTCTTCAGGAGGGATTTTTGTTCCGCTTTCGTGCGTTTGGAGGGGTCCGTGACTGAAGTTTCTTTCATAACCTCTTAGATTTGCCTAAATGTATCATTCATAAAATACATTCACTTTATGCTGAGATTTTTATTTCTGTTTCCTGACTCTTACAAAAAAAAAAAAAAAAAAAAAAAAAGAAAAAAAAAAAAAGAAGAAGTTATTCCCTTGTCAGTCTTGTGATTATCACTATTATTAGTAGTAGTATCATTTCGGAATGGTTTATATCGCCTAAAATAAACGCCCAGCCCTTTGAAGGCTGGGTTATCTCAGAATCTGGTCTCCAGACTCTCCATAGCCATGAAGTTCACTCTCAGCTTTTATCCTCTCTTCGCTTATCCTTATCGGCTTCCAAACCCAAACTGCAGAAGCGAATATGCCCAAAGTAACGCAGGGAACAGCCCGACGCCGTGTCGGCCTCTTGGGGTAAAGACGCTGGTGCCCCCCGCGCCGTCCTGCCCGGCCCGTGCATCAGCACCCCCAGGTCTCCCCCACCTTCTCCATATCAGCGCTAAAGAGGCAAAATCAGCTGGAAGAAGGTGCCAGTTCTAATAAATGATAACAACCGTCTTTTAAAAGTGGTTAAATATGTTTCCGGTAAGAAATGGATCATCCGCTCTTTTTTAAAAAAAAAAATATTTTCTTGTGACAAACCTGATAAATCAGTAAAAGGTGGCAATTGCACGGGCTTAAAATCTGCATATTGAAAAAATATTTTGTATTTGATCGCTTTCAGCTTAGAAATGCCAACCCAAAGAGCTGTTTGTTCAGGATGGATTTTGGCAGTTGTGCATTTCAAAGCACTATTTGGAAATCATTCCTTCTCTCCACAAACAATAAAGATTATTTATAAACAGTATCTGAGTTCAGAAGCCTCTGGCTTTCCATTGCAAGCTGACAATACACTGATTTTTTTTTCCTCGCAGCCAAATACACTTGGCGCTGATTCTGAAAGCAGGAAAAAGTTTCCACTTCGGACTTTTGTTTGTTTGTTTGTTTTTAATAACTATTTCCAGTTCCACTTCCCTTTACCAACTCTCAACAATCACATATCTAAAATTAATCTAGTTGGCGATCCGAGCAAACTCGCACATCCTGCCTCCTCTGTCCCAAAGAGTCATCCTTTTAGACTTGTAGACTGCTCCGAGGTCACTTTCTCCTTGGCTTTTCCTTCTCCAAGATTATTTATTTTATTTTATTTTATTTTTTTTTCAAACAGAAGAGCGTTTCATGTAATTTCTGATGGGTTTTCTTCAGGGCTTGAAAATACAAGCGCCTGTATAGTGTCACCCCGAGCACGCAATACCGCACAACGGGGTCTCTGCAAGCGGGCAGACCTGGGATGAAGCTGTAGTTTGGCTTAAGCCCCTCTCAGAAAAGGCTACAAAGAGATGAGCTATGGGGATATGTATAAAAAATAAACTACTGAACAAACGGAAACCTCCAGAGGAGCAAAAGCAAATGGATTTTGCAGATCTTCTTGTGAGGTTTCCATTCACTAGGGATCTGGAAACCCTTGGTTTCTGCCTCACAGCCACGCTCCTAAGAGTCTTCTTGGTTTAAATTTATATACTACAGAAAATTATATACTCACATGCTGACATAGTTCATCATTATTTATAGGAGGCGCACCAGGATTTTTTCCAAGAATATATTTATCACAGGTAAGACATGGCCAATCTATCTCGCAAACAGAGAACAGGTGTTTTGCTTCAATTAGGGTTCAATAATTTCATCTATACTTATTCAACATCCTGTTACCAACACGGCTGTTTATCCATCAGTTGTATAAACACATCTCCATGCGCCAAGCGAGTTTAATCTCCACAACACACTTAAATCAGCCCTTTCCTTTCCCAGGCTCTCATAACATTTGCAGAGTCCCTCCGAATCTCTTGTGAAATAGTCTGATTTTTAAAAATCATTTCTGAAAGGCAATAAAGCCGAGAAATATGACAACGTGAGCAACCAGCTCGTATTTTATGTCTGATGACACAGAATCTTTTCATTTCAAAACCTCCCCAACTCTTAAGGAAGTTGTGTGGGGGGGGGGTGGGGCGGGGGGCGAGAAGGAGATAGAGATGTGGAAAGTTGCAAAAAGCAGGAATTTCCCCTCATTTCACACAACCCCTGTTCTTGTGAGATGCACTGGAGAGAGCAGCGACCCTGCCCAATGCTGCTCCCTGGTAGGGGATTTCTCTGCCTTCACCGGTTTAAACGCGAAAAGGGGTGAAGTGGAGTTACTTTGGATTAACCCCCCTGGAAAGGAGAGGAGACTTTGCAGGTCAGTGGGGAGTACTCACCTGGTGACATCTACCCACGGCTGGCTTGGCAAGATCCTAGCCCAGCGGCTGGAGAGGGCTCCCCAAACACTCCCCCAGCCTCACCTTGGCTGGAGCCTGCGGACTGAATCTGCTTCTCCAGCACAGGCATTACTAACAAAGGGTTAAGGACTTTAAGTCAGTTCAACTGACCTTGGTATGACTTACCCACAACACAGTCAGCTCTCCAGCAACACAGATGGTTGAACTGATGTTGCCAATTTTTTTTTTTTTTTTTTTTTTTTTTTTTTTTTTTTAAATTATTATTTTATTTTAATGAAAATGGACAGCTTCCTGATAGCGCCTCATTTAGAGGAGCGCTGGTCCTGGACATGGGGAAACGCGCCCTTCCATCAGGCTGTAGGGCAGATGCTCATGGAAAATCACCGCTTATAGGAATAAGGGAAAATCTAAGGCTTTGGGTGTAGGTTTTTAAGCGCCTTCATAACCTTCCAGTGTCAGTAGAACACCTCTGATAGCCATTTCCCACATCCGTTTTGTGTAGGCACGGACATATGGACACACACGCACGCACACTCTCATACAGCCAGAGAGAAAGGCGAAATACATGTTTTCCTTCATTTCAGGCGGCTATTAGCACCCTTCAATGTTATTATTAGTCTGTTAATATAGACTTCCATCTCTGTACACTTCAGGAAGGATTCGCGATGATTTATCATTCCTAGAAATCTCTTTGCCCTTCACTTTAAATATCCTTCAGTGTTGGGGTGAGAGGGAGAAGGGCGGAGGGGTAATAGATTAAAGGAGGCAAATTGATCCAGACTGATACAGCTGAAGTCCAGCGAAACACTTTTGCCGTAATCATAGAGAGCACCTTTTCCTTAACCAACATTTACGACGCCCTCGGACCATCTTGCAATAAATGGATTTATCATCATAACTTGGTAAAACTGACCCCGTTCCCCCGCATCGTTTGGGCTGGGAGCCGCACCGAGCCCTCACCCCGTGTCAATCATTCCCTTCGGTGGAAGGAAAAAAAAAAAAAAACAACCCGAAATCGTCGCGTTTTCGAAAACACACGAAAAATGCGAGGAGGGGTGGGGGGGTGTCTGACACGCACACACACCGTGAGCACACACATGAGAGGTGTGAGGGGGGGCACGGTGTCTGAAAACGCGAGGGATTCCTTTTTTGCCCCCATTCTTTTCCACAGGCAATAAATTCAAGGCTATAAAAATCAAAGAAAGCTAATGTAAGTTTTATTAAACTATTTAACCATCACAAGTTTAAGGCATTCTGTAACAAAGCCGGATCAGTGGCGCACTGTATTTTACTAGCCTTGTAAAGTTAAATGAAGGCTTCTGATTTCAGCAATGTGGGAAACTATTTTAGCCCCAGCAAAGCAACCCTGAGATGACGCCGCGAAACATGCGAACATATGTTCATACACAGAGATATTTTGAAGGTATTTTTCTGTACGTATATAGATGCATAACGTCTAAGGCAGCCTCTGGAGGTGCACAGGGGCTGCGGCTCGGCAGCTCGCTGGTCAAAGTTGCAATGCCACCTCCGTGCCAGTGACATTTTAAATTTCATATTTACCCGCATTATTTTGCCATATTAACAACCCGTTTTCCCATCCCAGCTGGTTAATTATTTATAGCACCCTCCCCACCACTCTTGCTACCCAGATCCATCTTTTTCTTTACAAAAAACGCATATTTGTTTGCATCCATGTATATACGCCCGTGATGCATGCGCACGTATGTATGTGTATGAAATCACGGCGCGGGGGGGCCGGTTGGTTTGCGTTTATTCTCTGGGTTTTTTGCTATCGTACTCTGGAGCCCGAGTGGCAAAGAATAGCTTTTATCTCTATTCCCCCATGATGGTTATTAAAGGCAAAGCGAGCACATCAGCATCTTTTTTTTTTTTTTTTTTTTTACGAGTCCTTCCTGTGCTTTACATCTTCATTCCAGCTCCCAATATTTCAGAAGCAAATCTAGGAAGGGATATTAGCCCCAGCTCTGCCCGTTCGGTGGCTTTTCGAAACTCCTGACGTTTTGCAACATTGCATAAACATAAAACAATCCATCCTTGATATGGAATGCAAGGGCGGATGACAGCGCAGCGCAGCCCCCTCGGCTTCGATTGATTTACGCCGAGACTGACGCTTTATCAGGCACACGAAAAAAGTTTGACCAATCATTTTGCTGGGAGCTCACAACACAGCAGCCCAACTGTACTTTGTTGGCTGGGAAGTTGGAGAAGGGGGTAGAGTACAAATCTAGATCTGTCCTATATATTTTTTTCCCTTCATTGAACCGTGCTTTGTATGATGTCTGAGAATGTCCATTTCTGGGACTCTTAGCAATTATTATGTCGACTCTATTATAAGTCATGAAAGTGAAGACTCGCCTTCAGCTAAATTTTCATCTGGGCAATATACGAGTTCCAGGCAAGCTGGGCACAATGAGCATCTAGAATTCCCCTCCTGTAGTTTTCAGCCAAAACCTCCAGTTTTCAGCGCCTCCTGGACTCCTTTGAATCCACATTCTTCTGGTACCCTTCCTGCCGTCTACCATCCATATATTCAACATCAAAGCGTCCCATCTGATAGCAGGTATCTACGGAGCTGGCTGGATCCAGTACCCAGAGCAGAGAACCTCCCCGGGCAGGGATCTGTTAAGGCAGAGCCGCTGCTGGGCCGTCCCGGGGATGTCCATAAACAGGGAACACAGGAGTACAATTTAGAAACTTCTGCTGCAAGGGAAGGGATCGTTTCCAATCAAAGGCCCAGCTTCGAGGACAATAAAGTTTGTGAAGGAAGCGAAGACAAAGACAGGACAGATCAAAGTAAGTTATAAAAGTGAGGAAGTAAACAGTATAAAAGCTGGAGGAGGTGCAATAAAAGGGGACAATGCTGCGTAAAGTTTAAAATCAGGGCTTAAAGAAAAGTCTCAGCTTGCTGATGCCAACCTAAGGGGAGAGGTGGGGAGGGGAGGGGGGTGGCATTGTCTCTGCCGGTAAATAAAAATAAAAATAAAAATGAGCGCCGTCTCTGAGCTTAACAGAGTCCAGAGCGGACAAAAGCTGGAGCGAGTCATCCTCTCTCCTCCAGAGCGCTGGCTCCGGCAGCAGAGACCACTTTAGTAAGCGGGAGTAAATCTGCGCGGGTGCGGGCGGTGGGGAAGGGAAGGGACGGGGGGAGCCAGTAAGTGTCGGGGAGAAAGGTGGGGAAAGGGGAGCGGACGGCTGCGGTGGGGGGAGAAGAAGAAGAAGGGGGGAAAGAGGAGAAAGAACGGAGGAAAAGTTCACGTGGGGGAAGTAAACAGCAGCGGGGGCTTTGCCG